GGGACACCAATACGACATCGTTTCACTGCCTGTGAGACCAGGTTGATTTGGACCGGGTCCATGTATCGATTTTGGGCCTGATTTGTTTGGGTCCAATCCGAATTTTTCATTTTTCCTACTTCTTTTCTTCTTTTAATCTTCCTAAAAAAATTAAAATTCTAAATTAAGTTATAAATTAAATTAACTTATCACAAATACTAACTAATTCCTAACAATATTTATCATATATAATTAAACACCAATTAAAACAAAATTGCACAATTTGACATTGAATGCTAAAAATGCAAACGATGCATATTTTTTGTAATTTTCATTCTTGTAAAACAAACTTAATTACTCCTAATTGTAGAATTAAACTATAAATGCAAATATGACATATTTTTGTATTTTTATTAATTTAACAAATAAATATGCATGGACAGATACAAATAATTATCCTAAAAATGCCACGAAAATTCTCAAAATTGCACACAAAGAAAAATTATTTTATTTTTGAATTTTTTGGGAGTGATTCTTTCATAGGGCAAAAATCACGTGCTTACAATTACAAAAATAACCAGGCCCAACCGAACCATTAACACTCTACTAACTATCATTACAATAATAATATAGTGTCTAATTGACCCCACTTGGGTGGGTTCGCCACTTGACTAAAAGGGATGACTTCTTTTTCCCCGCAAGATAGGACTGCTTTTTAATGATGGTAGAATTAAAAGCAACAGCTTTGAAATCTTAAGTTAACTTATAGCTTGTTTGGCCAAGCCATAAATTAGCTTATTTTAATAAATATTTTTTCTTAATAGTACTTTTGGTGAGAAGCAATTTGTGGTTGACTAATTAATTTAAAAGCATTTTTGAGGAGCAATTAGTGTTTGACCAAACTTTCAAAAACTGCTTCTAAATGTAGGTTTTATATAAATTTGTAACTGTACCGATAATTAGGGTAGGTTTTTTATTTTATGAAAATAAACCGAAAAAAATGAACAGTGCCGAATAAATTTACTTATGAAAAATATATTATATATTAAATTTAAAAATAATAAAGCATTAAACTTTTTCTTGGGCCATGAAATTATGAAAACTGTTACAAGTCAACAAGTAATTAAATTGAATCCTAATCCAACCCTATTATGCTACTTCTACCTAACATAAATTATTTTCAACATATTTAGCAGCAAGACACAAAGTATTCTAGCAATTATGAGTAGTAAACTACAATGTGTTAAATATGTTTTCTTTCGTATGATTTAGATTTATCTTTTTGAATATTTAATCTTCTATAGATTTTATTCTTCAGTCCCAACTTGGCGAATATCTTTACACTCGTGTGATTTATATTTTTTTCTTTTCTTAGTTTCTTTTACGTTGTTATAAAATAGTTTATAGGATCTATATTATGGATATCTTTTATGTTTTCTTAATTCATCATACTTTAAACAGTAAAAATATCTAGAGAGTTTTGCTAAGTCTTATAAAAGTACGTATGTTATTGCATTCTACTTCTACTACTGACTTTTATAAAACATTTAAAAGCATATAAAAAATTAACCGAACTGTGCCAATATCGAAGAGAAACCGATATGATTGAGACGGTTTCGAAAAGTCTAATTTGATTATACATAATAAAATAACCGAAAAATTAATATGGTACAAATTTTATAAAATAACCGCCCTAGTCGAACCATTAACACTCTACTAACTATCATTACAATAATAATATAGTGTCTAATTGACCTCACTTGGGTGGGTTCGCCATTGGACTAAAAGGAATGACTTCTTTTTCCCCGCAAGATAGGACTGCTTTTTAATTATGGTAGAATTAAAAGCAACAGCTTTGAAATCTTAAGTCAACTTATAGCTTGTTTGGCATAGCCATAAATTAGCTTATTTTAATAAATATTTTTTTCTTAAAAGTACTTTTGGTGAGAAGAAATTTGTGGTTGACTAATTAATTTAAAAAGCATTTTTGAGGAGCAATTAATGTTTTACCAAACTTTCAAAAACTGCTTCTAAATGTAGGTTTTATATAAATTTTTAATTGTACCGATAATTAGGGTAGGTTTTTTATTTTATGAAAATAAATCGAAAAAAATGAACCGTGCCGAATAAATTTACTTATGAAAAATATATTATATATTAAATTTAAAAATAATAAAGCATTAAACTTTTTCTTGGGCCATGAAATTATGAAAACTGTTACAAGTCAACAAGTAATTAAATTGAATCCTAATCCAACCCTATTATGCTACTTCTACCTAACTTAAATTATTTTCAGCATATTTAGTAGCTAGACACAAAGTATTCTAGCGATTATGAGTAGTAAACTACAATGTGTTAAATATGTTTTATTTCGTATGATTTAGATTTTTCTTTTTGAATATTTAATCTTCTATAGACTTTATTCTTGAGTCTCAACTTGGCGAATATCTTTACACTCGTGTGATTTATATTTTTTTTTCTTAGTTTCTTTTACGCTGTTATAAAATAGTTGATAGGATCTATATTATGGATATCTTTTATGTTTTCTTAATTCATCATACTTTAAACAGTAAAAATATCTAGAGAGTTTTGCTAAGTCTTATAAAAGTATGTATGTTATTGCATTCTACTTCTATTACTGACTTTTATAAAACATTTAAAAGCATATAAAAAATTAACCGAACTGTGCCAATATCGAAGAGAAACCGACATGATTGAGACGGTTTCGAAAAGTCTAATTTGATTATACATAATAAAATAACCAAAAAATTAATATGGTACAAATTTTATAAAATAACTGGTCCAGCCGAACCATTAACACTCTACTAACTATCATTACAATAATAATATAGTGTCTAATTGACCCCACTTGGGTGGGTTCGCCACTGGACTAAAAGAGATGACTTCTTTTTCCCCGCAAGATAGGACTGTTTTTTAATGATGGTAGAATTAAAAGCAACAGCTTTGAAATCTTAAGTCAACTTATAGCTTGTTTGGCCAAGCCATAAATTAGCTTATTTTAATAAATATTTTTTCTTAATAGTACTTTTGGTGAGAAGCAATTTATGGTTGACTAATTAATTTAAAAAGCATTTTTGAGGAGCAATTATTGTTTGACCAAACTTCAAAAACTGCTTCTAAATGTAGGTTTTATATAAATTTGTAAATGTACCGATAATTAGGGTAGGTTTTTTATTTTATGAAAATAAACCGAAAAAAATGAACTGTGCCGAATAAATTTACTTATGAAAAATATATTATATATTAAATTTAAAAATAATAAAGAATTAAACTTTTTCTTGGGCCATGAAATTATGAAAACTGTTACAAGTCAACAAATAATTAAATTGAATCCTAATCCAACCCTATTATGCTACTTCTACCTAACATAAATTATTTTCAGCAAATTTAGTAGCAAGACACAAAGTATTCTAGCAATTATGAGTAGTAAACTACAATGTGTTAAATATGTTTTCTTTCGTATGATTTAGATTTATCTTTTTGAATATTTAATCTTCTATAGATTTTATTCTTGAGTCCCAACTTGGCGAATATCTTTACACTCGTGTTATTTATATTTTTTTTCTTTTCTTAGTTTCTTTTACGTTGTTATAAAATAGTTTATAGGATCTATATTATGGATATCTTTTATGTTTTCTTAATTCATCATACTTTAAACAGTAAAAATATCTAGAGAGTTTTGCTAAGTCTTATAAAAGTACGTATGTTATTGCATTCTACTTCTACTACTGACTTTTATAAAACATTTAAAAGCATATAAAAAATTAACCGAACTGTGCCAATATCGAAGAAAAACCGACATGATTGAGACGGTTTCGAAAAGTCTAATTTGATTATACATAATAAAATAACCGAAAAATTAATATGGTACAAATTTTATAAAATAACCGGTCCAGCCGAACCATTAACACTCTACTAACTATCATTACAATAATAATATAGTGTCTAATTGACCCCACTTGGGTGGGTTCGCCACTGGACTAAAAGGGATGACTTCTTTTTCCCCGCAAGATAGGACTGCTTTTTAACGATGGTAGAATTAAAAGCAACAGCTTTGAAATCTTAAGTCAACGTTTGGCCAAGCCATAAATTATCTTATTTTAATAAATATTTTTTCTTAAAAGTACTTTTGGTGAGAAGCAATTTGTGGTTGACTAATTAATTTAAAAAGCATTTTTGAGCAGCAATTAGTATTTGACCAAACTTTCAAAAACTGCTTCTAAATGTATTTTTCTCAAAAACGCTTTTCAAAAAAAATGCTTTTGAAGAGAAACTATTTTTTCTGCTTCTCCAAAACTGCTTCTACTTCTCTTCAAAAATATATTTTTTTCTTCTAAATTTGGCCATACACTTCAACTTTGAGAAAGAAAAAAAAAATACTTTTTTTGAAAAAAAATAATACTTCAAAGATTGGATAAGTTTGGCCAAACATGCTATTAATTCCATCCAAAATCAAAACCATCAGCGTTACTAAAAACCGCAAATCAATTGGCCTCAAAACGATTAGCATGACTAAAATAACGAAAATCAGTTGGCCAGTCTATGTCACTCACTCCTAAGCCTCAAAAGATCACTTTTCTTCCAAGGGCGTAATTTGACTTGTTACAATAAAAACAATAATAAATTTAGCATAATTTTATTAGTAGAATTTGAGAATGATAGTGTGATCGCAAACCTTCCTATTACATTGTGATGTTTTTATATTGTGAAGGTAGAAAGACTATTTTGTATAGCTGTTCGACTATAAAATAAAATAAAATTTGCCTCGTTTAACTTCTGAATTTTCAAACTACACTAGTCATTGCCTTACAAAATAAACGCATGTGGGAGTGGGACAACTACAAATACTAGTAGATAAAGGTCCCTTAAAATAAAGACAAGATTTCCAGGCCAATGACAGCTCTATAATACTTCCAACTTAGAAAAACTCACAACCCACATTACCACAAATTAACTCAACTGTCTCACTATATTTAAATAAATTTGTTGGAAATTCAAGATATGATAAGCTAAATGGATCTAAAAGGATCCTTTTTAAAATAAAATTAAATTAAATTTCCACATAATCCCAAATATTTGCCACGCCATCAATTGCTCCAAACAAGCATCTCCAAAGAATCTTGATCATTTGATTATTCACACTCATTAAAGTAAAGAAAAAGAAAAAAAATGAAAATGACAAATACATTTGACCCCATTCTTGCAATTGCTCCTCTTTTTTCTATTACATCCATGGTCCAATGGGACCAAATATAACGATCAGAATTAAATAAAAGGGGCAATTTGTTCATGAAAAAGATGGGAATCGAGTGCACCTCTGTGAAAGGAACACTTTGCAATCATCCTTTGGAGCAATGGTTGGAATATACGCGATATCATCACAGCCGTCCGTTTTGTGCCTCTTGAAATCAATCAGAGCCGTAAACAACGCAATGAAGAGCATCAATTGATTTATAGCGTACCTCTGTCCCACACATCCATGGGACCCAGCTCCAAATGCTAGATAGTTCTTCTTGTAAACCCGTTCCTCTTGCCTCTCCTCCATAAACCGGTCCGGGTCAAACTTTTCCGGTTCAGGAAACCCCTGGAAAGACGAGTCAAAAACAGAAGGGAAAACAATAGTCCCTTTAGGAATAACATAATCATCAGTTAACCGGAATTCTTCGCCGGCAATGTGCGGCACCAAAGTCGCCGGAGTTCTGATTCTAACAACCTCACGCGCCACCGCTTCCAGGTACTTCATTTCCCTAAGCATCTCCGCCGTCAACGGCTGCTCAGATTCTGGCGACCAGAATTTCACCACTTCCGACCGGACTTTCTCCAGAACTTGCGGGTGGGATTCCAAAAGCACCACTGCCCATAACAGAGAAGAAGTAGAAGCATCTTGAGCCGCAAAGAGGAAGTCAAATAAGTAACTACCAAGTTCCTTGCCGGTATACTCGAACGGCTTTTGTGAACCATTAATCTTAGCTTCCTGAATCTCTCTGAAATACTCCTGCATCCAAAAATCAATTAAGCACGTGGGTTCTTCGTCACCTCGCATCTTATTTTGGCTCTGTGCTGCACAAACGGAAAGCGTATCAACTAGTCTCCCAACAGCTAACCTAGCGTCTCTGAAGGCGAAACCGGGTAAATCAACAGGGAGTTTCATTAACCCAACATTGAAGTAATTATAGTCAACATTGAACCGCTTTCTGGAATCTTCGTTTAAGTATGGGCCGACGAAGACAGTCTGAGAAGTATCCAAGTTCATATCGCGACAAAGGAGGCGAAGTGTGATTGGTTTGTTAGGGGATTTTGATGCTTCGTCCAACCAGGACTGAAAGTGTTTGATAATAATTTTTTGTTGGATAACAGTGTAAGTAGCAAGAGCTTTAGGGGTAAAATTAGGGGCCATTCGACGGCGATGGTCTTTATGTTCTTGACCAAACATGTAAATCAAGTTATGCTCACCAAATAGCCTTTTCCCAAAAGGGTGCCCGATCAGCTGGAAAGCGTCAGGACGGACATTGGCAAAGACTTTGTGGGAAAGGTCAGTGGAGTGAATAAAGAGAATGAATTTACCGATGATGTAGTTAGCACAGAAGCCATGGCCTGTAGACTTGGCGAAAGAGGTTTGGTCTTGCCAGAATTTGGTGGGATTGATGATTAAAGAAATCACGTTGCCGAGGAAAGGGAAGACAAGAGTTGGACCAGGAATAGAACGCTTCTTCTTCAGGTAAGAGATCTGTTCAAGAAGAAGTAGAAGAGCTATGAAGGAGAAGAAATAAGGTGTCCATGGGGATAGAATGACCCAAATGGATGCCATATGCAGCTCAGCTCAGCTCTATTTCTTCTCCGGTCCTCACCAAAAATGGTTGTGATACCAATGAATCTAAAATGCTCTGTGGTTTTTTGGTGTATTGGGTTTATATAATAGGAAGATGGGTCAAAATGGGAAGGGTGGATTGGTGGGTCAAACAAGCAATGCTGAAGTTAATAAGGAAAACCGTGCAATAAAACTTGGAAAACGTGGAAGGAGAAAATGAAAAGTAAGAGATACCAAATCTGAATTGTTTAAAGGCAGAAAATCTCAGATTGTTCAAAGAAAAAGAGCGACTGGCTGCTGAGTACAGTGACTCAATCATATGGGTAATTTATGGTGAGTCCTGACTCAGGTGGTCATGGCTTGTTATCAAGGAGGAGGATTTTACAATAGTTTTGTGGTCTGAGTTGCATTTTGGGAGGGGTTTGGAGAGGGAGGAAGTGCACTATTGGATATAGGGATTGGGTTTTTGTTGGAAAGATTGGAAGCGAAAAAGATGGATAAGAGAGCGAAGAACAAAATGACAATTGAGAGCCCTCTTTTAAATTTACCTTCAAGAGAGATAATTTTTGTCTATTAGTACTATTTTAGCATGGATTGAAAGCTTGCTTGGATGGTTGTTACATATTATTTCTTAACGTATCATGGCATAATACCTTAACACCCCCTAAACTTGACACGTAATTACAGTCTTAAATTATTTGTGGTCTTAATTATCTCCTCCCCCTCAACTTGGCCTTATGAGAGCCACTACCTTCTAGACGCTGATGTGGCAAAGATTGTGGGTCCACTTGCCTGCCACATAAATTTTTTTGTATATGTGGCATTTTTAAAAAAATAAAATATATTTTTATCTTTTTAAATATGTTACTTTTTTGGATAATTTTTTTCGAATACAATTTATAATAAAACTTGGATAGAACTACATTATTTAGGCTAAATTTTTTTATTTGGCTAAAAATAATAAAGTTTTGGTTAATCTTTTTTTTTTTGAATTTGACCTGAAAATAAATATATATACAATTGAAATAAATTGTCAAGGCATCTAAAAAGTTATAAAAAATACACAGTTCGAAATTAATTATTTTGGCTATAATTTTGTTATATAGCTCTAAATTATGGTGCTCTAAAAATATAATTTTTTTTACAGATTTTACCTGAAAAAGTAAAAATACACAGTTGAAATAAATAGTCATTGCATCAAAAGAAGAAATAAAAAGAGTGTACAATGCAAGTGATTTCTTTTTATTGCATCAAAAAAGAAATTAAAAAGTACACAGTTGAAATAAATAGTCATGACTATTTATTTCAACTGTGTATTTTTACTTTTTCAGGTAAAATCTATAAAAAAAAATATTTTTAGAGCACCATAATTTAGAGCTATATAAAAAATTATAGCCAAAATAATTAATTTCGAACTATGTATTTTTTATAACTTTTTAGATGCCTTGACTATTTATTTCAATTATATAAATCTTTATTTTCAGGTCAAATTCAAAAAAAGATTAACTAAAACTTTATTATTTTTAGCCAAATAAAAAACTTAGCCTAAATAATGTAGTATCCAAGTTTTATTATAAATTGTATTCGAAAAAAATTATTCAAAAAAGTAATATACTTAAAAGGGTAAAAATATATTTTATTTTTAAAAAAAATGCCACATACAGAAAAATCCTCGTGGTAGGCGAGTGCACCCACACTCTTTGCCACAGCAGCGTCCAGGGGAGTAATGAGTCTCAAGAAGGCCAAGTTGAGGGGGGAGGGGGTGATTAAGACCACGAATAGTTTAAGGTTGTCACTAATAATCCGTGTCAAGTTTAGGGGGAGTTAAGGTATTTTGCTATCGTATTATATTGTATTGTATTATGTTAATGAATATAATATTTAAATAGATCGTGTCGTTCTTCATTGTTTTATTATGTCACACACCACAATTTGAAGAATAAGCTTACAATATTATAAAGAAAACATGATTTATCGAATAGAGTAATTATTTAAAATTAGGGTAAAAAGTACTCAATCCGTTCCAATTTATGTGAACCTGTTTGATTGGACACGGATTTTAAGAAACAAATGAAGACTTTTGGAATTTGTGGTCCTAAACAAGTCCAAATGGGGCCCAGAGTATTTGTGTGGTTATAAAAGTTTCTCATTAAAGGTAAGAGTTGTAACTTTAAGCTAATTGTTACCAAATTTAGGAAGGGTTTATTTTTTTGGAACGGACCAAAAAGAAAATAGGTTCACATAAACTGCAACAGAGGGAGTAAAATATTAGTAAGGGCAAGATGAGAAAAAATAAAAATAAAATAACAACACGATCAAACCAAATTGATCGCTATACAAGAGGGGTTTTATCATTACAGAACAACAGACTTCATATTATGATATAACAAAATTTAAGTAACAATAAAAATAACATAGTATATAAAGTAATAATATAATACAACATAATACTCCCTCTGTTTCAGTTTATGTGAACATATTTCATTTTTGGTCCGTTCCAAAAAGAATGATCCCTTTCTAAATTTTGGTAACAATTTAGCTTAAACTTTCAATTCTACCCTTAATAAGAAGCTTTTAGAACCACACAAATACTCTGGGCCCTTTTTTGCTTTGTTTAGGACCACAAATTTTAAAAGTCTTCATTTTTTTTAAATTCCGTGCACAGTTAAACAGATTCACATAAATTGGAACGGAGGGAACAGTAGGTAACAACCATCCAAACAAGCCGTAAAGAGTATCTTCCCAAGTCAATTTCAAGTTTCAAGATTGGATTGATGTTTGAGTTGGTGAGAACAGCAAAATTGATAAGGTGTGAGGCCAGATCCTATTATGAAAATGTTTCAATTATCAATTACATAAGCCATATTTGTTAAACGAAACAAGAAGAGGTCAAATTACGGGTTAAGGAATCGAGTCTTAACCATAACGATTAACGAAACACCTGTTAGGCTATCAGCTTGTTGACTATTAGCAATATAATAGACAACAATGATTAAACTTTAGAGTAGAAAATGCTTCTATTTTAATTAAAGGGACCTGTTGGCTTTGCTGTTGCTGCATACAAAAAGCAAACAGATAACCATATTGGGCTGTGGTAGGGTTGAAATCCAGCTGGTCATAAGTGGAAGATTCCAAGACATTTGCAAAGAGACAAGCACATGGGAAATTTGCATTTCTCCTTTGAATCTCTCTGTCCAAATCCTGTCACCAATTGAACCTTACGGGATTTCCAATTTATGTTGCACTTTTAACTATGACAAAACTGGTATTTGTGTTAGACAATTCTTTATCTTTTTTATATAACGGTGATATTAAAGCTCCGCGTAGCTCAATCAAAACTTAATCACTACTCCACTAATCCATAATAACTGACCAATTTGCTTTTCTATTTTGGTCCAAAATAAGTGTGCATTTATATAATTAAGAAAAAATTCAATTTATTTTTTCAAAATTATCTTTATGTACGTATCCCGAAAAAATCATTTACTCCTCACATTTGAAAAGAGAAGTAAGCACTACTCCCTCTGGTCCACAATAAGTGACCAATTTGCTTTTCTATTTTGGTCCAAAATAAGTGTCCATTTATATAATCAAGAAAAAATTCAATTTGTTTTTCCAAAATTGCTCTTATGTACATATCCATAAAAAGTCATTTACTCCTCACATTTGAGAAGAGAAGTAACTGTTACTATAATTATGGTGCAACATTTAATGAAGGGTAGTTTAATCGTACTACCTATTTTTGTCTAGAATTTAGTATTTCCTTAATGGGTGCGCCCAAGGCAAATTGGTCACTTATTGTGAATTGGAGGGAGTACTAAACTATGGTGCAACATTTAATGAAGGATAGTTTAGTCACACTAACTATTTTCGTCTAGAATTTAGTATTTCCTTAATAGGTATGCCCAAAGCAAATTGGTCACTTATTGTGGATGGAGGAAATAATATTTTTTTTCCGTCGAGATTTGAACTCTACTTGTCTTAGACAATTCTTTATCTTTATCTTAAAAAAAACTTTCCTTTTTCTTTTTGGTAGAGACCTTGTTACATAGAGCTTCTATTTTGTTTTTGTCCTGACATATACTTCCTCCGTTTCAATTTAGATAAGGTAGTTTGATTCGATACGAAGTTTAAAAAAAAGGAGGCTCTTGAAACTTGTGGTCTTAAAATCTTAAGGGGGAAAAAAGTTTTGTGGGATCATGACATTTGTGTGGTTATAAAAGCTTCTCATTAAGGATAAAATGAGTAAAATGAAGAGTTTAAAATTGAATTATTTCCAAATTTAGAAAGATGTCATTTAGTTTGGAACAGACTAAAAAGGAAAGTACCTCATCTAATTTAAAACGAAGGGAGTATATTTTTCAGTTTTTAGTAACATTCGTCCTATACTAATATTAGTGATTTTCCTTAGTTGGACTTCTTCATACGGCTGCCAACAATGAAAGAGTTTAACTCAGCTCATATTTAAAAAGACAGATTGAAAACTTACATATTCTTCATTGTGCCAAGCTTAGAGAATAAAACCTAGAAGCTTCATGAGCTCAGAGAAACGAAAATAAAAATGGAAAATATTTTATTATCTGTAAAGAATGAAATTCTGTCTATACAAAATAATGGGAAATATTCTATTTATATTATTTACAAATGGAATCGGGTCGGATCAGTGTAATAAATATGGGCTGGTAACTTTGGGCCTCTTCTGTTCATTCTCTTCATGGGCTTTAACACCCCCTCAAGCTGGAAGGGGAATCCATTCCAAGCTTGAAGATGAATGCCTGCTGATGAACACCCAACAGAGATTTAGTAAAAATACCAGCAACTTGTAAGGAGGTAGAGATAGATTGTAAAGTGATAACCCCTGACTTCAGAGCATCCTTTACAAAATGGCAATCCACTTCAATGTGTTTCGTCAGTTCATGAAAAAGATGATTCTTTGCAATATGTATCGCAGACTGGCTGTCACAATAAGCATCAACAAGAGTAAGATTAGCAACACCAAGCCCAGTCAATAGTCTGAGAACCCAAGTCACCTTAGCAACTAGCAGTCGCAGGGCCTTATACTCAGCCTCAGCCTCAGCAGAGGATAGGGCAATGGTGGACTGCTTCTTAGATTTTCAGGCAATAGTGCATCCACCAAGGAAGAGAATCAGACCACTAACAGACCTTCAAGAATCAGTACAGCTAGCCCAGTCAGAATTACAAAATCCATGAAGAGCAAGATAAGAAGAATTAGACAACAAACCTAGAGTAGTGGTCCCAGCCAAGTACCTGAGCACATGATAGGCTGCATCTAGATGGGGCATCCTCGGGCAGATATGTATTGGCTCAAGTAATGGATAGTGAAGGAAATGGATGGCCTAATGTGTTAGAGGAAATTCAATTTCCCTACCAATCTTCTTTACAAAGAAAGATCGGGCAATAGATCCCCAACATCAGCTGAGAGTTTGGAGTGAGGATCAAGAGGAGAAACCACAAGAGAAACAGCTAAACAATGAAATTCAGAAAGAATGTCCACAAGGAACTTATGTTGATTAATCAGAAACCCATT